GGGTGAAGGTGTGAACCTCCGCATCCTGGAGGACAGCGGTGCTCACCAAGTTTGTAGAGAACGAGGGGAGGTGGAAGCCTATCAGTGAGCCAGACGAAACCGCCGGGCACGGAAGCATAGTGGTGGACCGTGCAAGAAGTGGGCCCCCTCAAGGGTCAGCCAGAGAGACTACAACAGGTGCAGGGAGTGGTGTGAGTGCAGTACTGTAACAGAAGAAGCAGCGGGAAGCACCTGAGTCAAGCGTGAAGGTGTGCACGGCCTTAGCATGCGCAGTACCTGAGAGAGCAGACTCGCTTGCACCTAAGGCAGCAGCCTCACTAGGACCTAGAGCAGCTACCTCTATACCGGGGTCGTACCGCACACACAGGTGACACCCACTCTTAGCACCACCAGGCAAAGCAGACATGGCTGTAAGGATGGCGTCATAGTCTAAAGCAAAGACAGCAACGCCCGACCTAAGCAGCTCAAGCCAGGGGGGGATCTCAGCCTCGTCGCCAAGCTCTATGCGCCAGGCGTCAGTCAAATAGGCGAAGCAGCGGGACTGTGCGTGACCAGGTGTCCCACAGGTCTCACCAGCTCGACGACCTGTGCGAATGACGTACGGGCAGCGACCCGGACTCGGAGACGGCCCACGCTGGTAAAGCCACTCACGAAGCTGCCGCGGCGTAAGGGTCGGACGCCGTCGTAGCTGCATCTGGCCACCGCCAAACACTCCGCACCAAACAGCGTCACAGTGTCTGCTACTACAGCCGCCATCACTCCCACTGCTGCCACCACCGCCGTCACCACTCCCATCCGTACGACAAAGTGAAGTCATGGCGGGCAATCTAGGAGGAGCGCGACCTCTAGGGCAGTATGGAGTGAAGGCAGTAGCACGAGTAGCAGCAGCAGCAGTAAGAGCAGCAGGGCGGCGCGCGGCCAGAGCAGGGCGACGCGCGGCAGGCGGTAGCTCCTATGGCCTTTTTACGAATTATTATTATTGTTTTAATTCAATTTTGGGTTTAGCAGGGCGCTGGCGCAGGGCCGGGCGCTGGCGCAAGGCAGGGCACTGGCGCAGGGCAGGGCGCGGGCGCAGGGCAGGGCACTGGCGTAGGGCAGGGCGCTGGCGCAGGCTGCAGGAGTACGTGACGCGAGGGGCAGCAGCTCGCGACGCATGGGCTGCCTTAGGGCGCGACGCATGGGCTGCAGCAGAGCGCGACGCGCGGGGCAGCAGCGCGCGACGCGCGGGCTGCCGTAGGGCGCGACGCGCAAGACAGCAGCGCGTGTGTAGGGCAGGGCGCAGGCGCAAGGTAGGGCGCTGGCGTAGGGCACGGCGCTGGCGCAGGGCAGAGCGCTGGCGCAAGGCAGGGCGCTGGCGCAGGGCGGGATGCTGGCGTAGGGCAGGGCGCTGGCGTAGGGCAGGGCGATGGCGTAGGGCAGGGCGCTGGCGCAGGGCAGGGCGCCGGCGCAGGGCAGGGCGCCGGCGCAGGGCAGGGCGCTGGCGCAGGGGAGGGCGCTGGCGCAGGGGAGGGCGCTGGCTCAGGGCAGGGCGCCGGCGTAGGGCAGGGCGCTGGCGCAGGGTAGGGTGCTGGCGTAGGGCAGGGCGCCGGTGCAGGGCAGGGCGCTGGCGCAGGGCAGGGCGCTGGCGCAGGGCAGGGCGCCGGCGCAGGGCAGGGCGCCGGCGCAGGGCAGGGCTCTGGCGCAGGGCAGGGCGCTGGCGCAGGGCAGGGCGCCGGCGCAGGGCAGGGCGCTGGCGCAGGGCAAAGCGCCGGCGCAGGGCAGGGCGCTGGCGCAGGGCAGGGCATGCGCGAGGCAGCGCGACGCAAGGTGGTGGGGTAACGCGGTAACCGCAGTCGGAAGCTAAGTATGGTGGGCCCGGAAAAAAAAACGGCCCTACGGTCCTACTGCTCTAAAACCATGTCAAGATAGCAAGCATGGATGATGGCATTGAATGAAATGTGGGTACAAGTACTAACCCTAACTTCGGGTTGTACCCCATATGAGCTACCCCACTATAGCCTACACAGAACTAACACATATAATGTTGGGCTGAGAAAAGCCCTTAGGATCTTTGCAGGACTAAACTGTGAGTAGAATAATGTAATAGCGGAAGCGTTTAATGAGAAGTTTGTGAACCACCTTGCACTGGTATGTGAGGGCAAAGTAGATTGATTAAAACAAAGAGATAAAACCTTATATAAGAGTACAAGGGAATATGAAGGGTTATAACTAATAACTGTTTTGCTGTTGCTATTGCGGTTCGATACGGTGATGACTCGGGCAACTGCTCAATAGCGAGTCAGTTGTTTGTCCTTGCTGTCGCGCTGTTTTTGTCAGGTCAAAGGTCGCTGACCTTTGACTTTCGCGTAACCTCCAGCAGTTGTTCAACCTCCGAGGGTTGACTCGCTGATGCTTCGATATGTTTAGCTTCGCTTCTGACTCGGTGTTTCGACACGACAGAGGCGCTCAAATTACTTGTTTCCAACACTCCCCTTCGCTTTTGGAGTGTCGCTGCTGATGATGTGGCTCTGTCCAGTCAGCAGCATGCAGTACTCAAACTTCTTCTTTACGAGTTTCTAGGTCAAGTAATCAGCTGCCATCTCGGACGTGGGGCAGTAGGACAATTCGAGTCTCCCCTTCTCAATCTCGTCCTTCACGAAGAAATATCGCAGGGCGATATGTTTCGTCCTGTTCGCGAATCCATTTTTGTTGGCTATGCGAATTGCCGACTGGTTGTCGCAGAACAGGGAGAAGCTGGGTAACTGAGCCATCTTTGCCTCCTCCAGAACTTCGCGGAGGTACAGTCCTTCCTTGGTGGCTGAGCAGAGTGCGATATATTCTGCTTCAGCTGAAGAGAGGGCGATTAACTCTTGCTTGCTTGACTACCACGAGATGGGCACGATAGGTTCGAAGAGATAGATGTAGCCGGTGCGCGAGCGTCTGTTGTCGGAGTCGCCAGCGTGATTGGCGTCGACATAGCCGATTAACTTAGGTGGCGAGGTTCCGTTCTTGTGATAGGTCAGGCCGATCGTCGGAGTGCTAACGAGGTAGTGAAGAGCGCGGTCGAGTTCCGCCATGTGTTCTGCTTCAGGTTTCTTGAGGTAGGTCGCGAGCTGACTTGCGGAGTACGATAGATCCGGACGGCAGGTGACAACCGCGAAGAGGAGGCACCCCAAATTTTTCTAGTAGTCGCGTATGTCTGCGGGCTTGAGTAGAGCGGAACTTTCCTTGTGATTTCGTGCGGTCTAGCGGTAAGGCGTGGAGATGGTGATCGGGGTGAGTCCGAAGCGTTTGGCGATAGTGTCGGCATATTTCGCGGCGTTGAGGTAGATCGCGCCTTCTTCTTCCTGGATGTTGAGGCCGAGATACTGCGTGACGGTGGACGAGACCGTAAGCGTGAGATCCTTCTGTAGCTCCCCTTCGAACCAGGTTGTGACGTTGTCGGTCGAGCCGATGTAGAGCAAATCGTCCACGTAGACGATCAGTAGGATGTAGTCGGTGCCCTTTGTGAGCCGATACATGCCTTAGTCGTGAGGTAGTTGGCGGAATCCAATGCGAATGAGTCGTGCGTGCAGATACTGCTGCCACAACCTTGGAGCTTGTTTGGTGCCGTGCAGGGATTTTAGCAGCTGACAAACTTGGTTAGGCTCTCCGTGGGAGCCGTGTGGGAGTTCGACGAAGTTTCGTTGTCAACAGGTGCGTAGAGGAATGCGTTGGCGACGTCGATTTGCCGCGGTTTCTTCTTCTTCATGGCGGCGATCGCAAGGAGAATTCGTAGTGAGGTGTGTCGGCTGACCAGGGCGAATGTCTCGGTGAAGTCGCGTCCGTGCTCTTGGTCGAAGCCGCGTACGACCCAATGTCAGAACATTATAGCTTACTTATTTGTGTAGGCTATAGTGGGGTATCCCATAGGGGGTACAACCCAACTAGGGTTTCCTATTTGTACTCACTTCGTTCATAGTCATTCCATTCTCTCGTTCTAACTTTCTCATGGTATCGAGCAGGTTCCCCCGTGGGAACTGTGCTTAGGGCCCACCACATGGAACCTTTTTTTTTCTGCCCGGAGCGCGCTCCGGGCCCTTGCTCTTACTTTTTTTTCGATCTGCCCTAACGGCCCGAGCGCCGCCTTAGCGCGCCGCCCGCCCTAGCAGCCCGAGCGCCGCCTTAGCGCCCGCGCCCCGCTGCCCGCCCTCGCGCCCTAGCGCCCTAGCGCCCGCGCGCTGCCCGCCCTAGCGCCCTAGCGCCCTCGCGACCCGCTGCCCGCCCTAGCGCCCGCGCGCTGCCCAGAGCCGCCCGTGCGCCACCCAAAGCCGCCCGTGCGCTAGCCGCCCGACGCGCCAGCCGCCCGACGCCCGCTAGCCGCCCGACGCCCACTAGCCGCCCGACGCCCGCTAGCCGCCCGGCGCCCGCTAGCCGCCCGTCGCCTGCGCGCCGCCCGACGCCCGCTAGCCGCCCGTGGGCCGCCCGTGCGTCGCCCTCAGCAGCCCGACGCGCCGCCCGTTCAGCCGCCCGTACAGCCGCCCGTGCAGCCGCCCGTGAAACCGCTCGTGCAGCCGCCAGTGCTGCCGCCCGTGCAGCCGCCCGTGCTGCCGCCCGACGCGCCACCCGTGCAGCCGCCCGTGAGCCGCCCGTGCACCGCCCGTGCAACCGCCCGTGCAGCTGCCCGTGCAGCCGCCCGTGCAGCAGCCCAACGAGCCGCCCGTGAGCCGCCCCAGCCGCCCGTGCAGCCGCCCGTGAGCCGCCCGCGAGCCGCCCGTGAGCCGCCCGCCACGACGCCCGCGCCGCCCGTGAGCCCCAGCGTCACCCGAGCCGCACGAGCCACCCGAGCAGCAGAGCCGCCCGAGCCGCCCGTGCCGCTGCGTGCCCGAGCCGCCCGAGCCGCCCGAGCCGTCTGAGGTGCCGAGCTCCTGCTCCTGTGGGGCTGCTACTGCTCCTGGGCCAGCGGAGTTGCTGTGCTGCTGTGTTGCTGTGCTACTGAGCGACTCGACCCTTCCTGTCCGGTGAGACTGTCAGCTGCTATCATGGCCACCCCTAGTGTCCTTGCTTTTGACGCTGAGGGTCGCGCCATTGACTTTGCGGTCTGGGTCGACGACCTGCAGCTGTACTTGCTTTGCGATACGGTAGATGAAGTTTCTCTCTTTGACTTTGTATCTGGCGCTGTCCCTGCCCCTCCTGCTGATGCTGACCCCACTGTGCGCTCCAAGTGGGCCTCACGCGATGCTGCTGCACGTCTTGCTGTGCGTCGCCACCTCCCTTCCTCCGAGCGTGCACACTTTAGTCAGTGCAAGACCGCTCAAGCCTTGTACGACGCTGTAGTTGCGCGCTACTCCTCCCCTTCCTCTGCTACACTGAGCCGCCTCATGCTACCGTACCTCTTCCCTGACCTTGCTGCCTTTCCCACAGTCGCTGACCTCTTTACCCACCTCCGTGCTAGTGACACTCGCTACCGAGCTGCGCTTCCTGCTGACTTCTGCGCCGCAAACCCCCCTCCCATGTACATCACCCTCTACTTTCTCGTCACTCGTCTCCCTGAGTCCCTTCGTGTAGTTAGGGACCAGTTCCTCTGTGTCTGTCCCACCACCCTCACTGTCGACCTCCTCGAGAAGTCCCCGCTAGCGGCCGAGAAGGGCATAGTCGCTGTAGGGGGCCTCTCGTGGTGACCCTCGCACCCCCATCTTTGAGGGGTGTTCTCCTTCCCCCCTGTTACCCTCTGTCGCTCTGCTGCTGCGGCCGACCTCGTTGGTTTAGAGTCGGTCGGTGCGGCGTCTGCCCCCAGCGGCAGGCGCCGCTCTGGCAGGGGCAAGGGGGGCAAGGGAGCGGGTGGAGCTAGCGGGGGCGGTGGCGGGGGAGGTGGGGGCGGCGGGGGGAGTGGGGGTGGCGGTGGGGGTGGTGGCGGGAGTGGAGGTGCTAGTGGCGCAGTGGAGGCGGAGGTGGCGGCGGAGGTGGTGGCGGAGGTGGCGGTGGGAGCGGCGGGGGCGAGGGTGGCGGTGGCGGCGGTGGCAGCGGAGGCGGGGGTGGCGGTGGTGGAGGTGGTCGGAGTGGCTCGTCCGAGCGGAGCAGCACTGGGGGTGGTCAGCGCCAGCAGCAGCAGCAGCAGCAGCAGCAGCAGCAGCAGCAGCAGCGCTCTCCGCGACGTCCCCTAGCCCCTCAGCAGCTCCGTAGTGGTACTCGCAGCGTCAGCGTGGTGGGGGCGTTTGGTCCCTGCACCTACGTCCTTCGTACCATTGACCGCGTGGGTGAGCAGTGTGGGTGCGCCCACAAGAGCCGTCCGCCTCTACTTTAGCCGCCTGACAGACGCTTGGCGCCAGCAGTTTCCGGAGGCCTCTGAGATCCCCCGCTGGGGAGAGCTGTCTAGGGCTGGTGTAGCTATTTTGATCTTGACTTTGATGCTATCCTTGCTGCCATGTATGCTGTGAGCTGTTAGTGATGAGGGTGACTGTTACCGGTGTTTCCCGCCCGACCCACGCATTGGTACTGCTGCTCTAGGTGCCAGCGAGGCTTCTGCTCTAGGTGCCAGTACGTGTGTGCTCTCAGGTACTAGTGAGGCTGCTCTCTCAGGTGCTAGTGAGTCTGCGCTCTCGGTACTTGCGTCGGCTTTGGCCTCCCACACACTTCACCCTTGACTCTGGAGCATCTCCGCTCCTTCTTTCGGGACCGCACCACGCTCCACAGCCACTTAGTCGGCCTGTTGCGGTGTCCCTGGCTGGACCCCTCTGAGGGTCCTGTCCTTGTCTTGCTTCTCCACAGTCCTCCCGTGTCCGGCGGCTCCCTCTGGCACCACTGTCTGGTCTCTACCTCCCCTCGTTCTCTACGACTTGGTGATGTGCTGACCTACAGGATGTGGGAGGTCCACCAGTTCACCCCTGCTCGTCAGCGAGTGACGCACTCAATGCACAGAGGCTAGCACAGGTCGTCACCTGGCTACATTTACACGTCAGCCAGGGTCGAGCCTGTACACACTGACCACTGAGCTTCTCCTCCAGTTTCTGAGTCTGGTAGGTCCCTTCGTCAGGTCAGGTGTTTGCTGGAGCGTCCAGGCTTGGTCCTGAGTCTGCCCCCTGTGTCGTGTCGTCGCCTGTCTCACCGAGACTCTCCTCTGGCACCCACCGCCTGGGTCACCCCTCTCTATGCTTCGGCTCAGAGGCATGGCCTCCCGTCTTCTTGTGTCTGGTCTCCCCCGGTCCCTCCCTCCCCTTCCTCAGGGCCCTGGCCTGCCTGTAGTCCCCTGTGTCGAGGGGCGCCAGCGTGCTGCCCCTCACTCCTCCCAGTTTCCTCCGACAGAGGCTCCCGTTTGCAGACGCTCACATGGACGTGTGGGGCCCTGCCCGCGTCCGTGGACTCGGTCACGAGCGCTACTTCCTGCTGGTGGTTGACGACTACTCGCGTTACACCACAGTCTTCCCTTGCGCAGCAAGGATGATGTCACTGAGGTGCTGATCGACTGGATCCGCGCAGCTCGTCTCCAGCTCAGGCAGAGCTTTGGCTCGGACATTCCTGTGTTGCGTCTGCACTCGGACAGAGGCGGAGAGTTCTCTTCTGGCCTTCTGCGTGCCTACTGTCGTGCGCAGAGGCATCCGTCAGACCTTCATGCTTCCGGACTCACCGCAGCAAAATGGGATTGCAGAGCGCCGCATTGGCATGGTCATGGACGTCGCTCGTACGTCTATGATGCATGCGGCTGCCCCCCATTTTCTGTGGCCGTTTGCGGTCAGGTACGCGGCGCATCAGATCAACCTTCACCCCAGGGTCTCCAGGCCGGAGACCTCCCCATCCCTGTTGTGGACGGGGAAGGTTGGCGATGCGTCGGCGTTTCCGGGTCTGGGGATCTCGGGCGTTTGTCCGCGACTTGTCTGCGGACAAGCTGTCCCCTCGCGCTGCTCCCCTGCATCTTCCTGGGGTTCCCCCCCGACGCCCCTGGGTGGCAATTCTACCACCCCACCTCTTTGCCGTGTTCTGTCCTCCCCAGGACGTCACGTTCGACGAGTCGGTACCCTACTACCGCCTCTTCCCCTACCGCACTTCGTCCCTCCTCCCGCCCCCGCTCTTCTTGGTACCCAGGTCCCCCCCCGTAGCCCCCTTCCCCCTCAGGGTCCTGCCCCTTCAGGTGTGTCCCCAGGTAGACGTGGTCGAGGCCTGTCGAGGTCACTGGTGACTCTGGTGCTGCTGTGGGTGCTGAGCCTGGGGGTGCTGTGCCTGGGGGTGCTGAGTCTCGAGGTGCTGAGCCTGGGGGTGCTGAGTCTGGGGGTGCTGAGCCTGGGGTGCTGAGTCGGGGGGTGCTGAGCTTGGGGGTGTTGAGCCTGCGGGTGCTGGGCCTGGGGGTGCTGAGCCTGGGGGTGCTGAGCCTGGGGGTGCTAGAGCCTGGGGGTGCTGAGCCTGGAGGTGCTCTGCCTGGAGGTGCTTTGCCTGAGGGTTCGTTGCCTGGAGGTTCTCCGGGTGCTTTGTCTCGCCGAGAGCCACTCTCCCCGGCAGGAGCCTGCGCGAGTGGTTTGCCCGGACGCTAGAGGCGTGCTGCTGGTACTGGAGGTTCTTCGGCTGCTGAGGGTGCTGCTGCCGCGTGTCCTGGAGGTGCTCGTGCTGGGAGTACTGGAGCTGCTGGGCCTGCGGGTTCTAGTGGAGCTGGTGCTGCTGCGGGCGTGTTGGCCGCTAAGACTACTGCTAGCGGTCCGGCTGGCAATGCTTCTGGTGCTGCTGGAGGTTATGGAGCTACTGAGGTGCTGTTGGAGGTGCTGCTGGAGAGGGTACTCCTGCTGGGGGTACTGGTGCTGTCCCTGCTGTTTCTGGCGTCGCCTCGCGGCCCAGACCGTACTTCGTTCCCCTCCTGCAGCAGGTTCTTGGTCTTTCACCTTCTACTGGTCCTCCTCCTCCTCCCTTAGAGGGTCCCCAGCCTGTCCAGTCACAGTCACAGCTCCAGCCTGCCTCCCCTTTGCCTGCTCCTTCTCCCTACGCTGGTCCGACTGGAGGTCTTACTGAGCGTCGTGAGCCTGCGTCTCGTCCTGCGTCGCCTGTTCGTACTGCACGCACTAGTGGTCGCGGGTTCGCGTCAGCGTCCTCCTCCTGTCCCTGGCACGCACCGGATTGTCCTCTGCGTCCGTCCACTGCTCCTCTGCGTGCCCCTTTGCCTTCTCTCCTGCTTCCTCTCTTTCTGCTCTTGCCGACCCGGAGTCGGACTCTCTTCGTGCTGCCAGTCCTACTGTCACGCGTCTCCTTGATACTGCTGTCACTGACCCTTCTTTCGAGTCTTCTGCTGCGTCTGCCCTTGTCACTGAGCTTGTCGACTTTGGCTGCGCGCTGTCGTCCTAGACTACGCTGCTAGTCTTGTCCCTGAGTCTAAGTCTGCCTCTCCTCCGTCCGTCGGGGGTGAGTGTGCCCTTGGCACGGACGTCCCTTGAGGACAGGCAGGAGGAGTTCCAGTGTCTGGCCGCCGCTTCACCTCATCTCGCGTCTGTACTGCTCGCCCCTGAGGGAGACCCGGATGCACTAGACATCCCGACTCCGCGCTCTTACGCGGAGGCGATAGAGGGTCCCTACTCCTCTCAGTGGCAGGCAGCTATGGATGCAAGAGATGGCTTCCTGGAAGTCCACAGGCACCTACGTTGACGCTGTTCCCCCTCCTGGGGCGAACATAGTCAGTGGCATGTGGATTTTCAGGGTGAAGCGGCCGCCGGGTTCTCCGCCTGTCTTCAAGGCGCGTTACGTGGCTCGTGGCTTCAGTCAGCGGCAGGGAGTTGACTACTTTCAGACCTTCTCCCCCACCGCCCGAAGGATGACCACTCTTCGAGTACTGCTGCACGTTGCTGCTCACCGTGACTACGAGCTCCACTCTCTCGACTTCAGCACTGCTTTCTTGCAGGGCAGCCTGCACGAGGAGATCTGGCTGCGTTGCCCACCTGGCTTCACTAGGTCTTTCCCTCCTGGTACCACAGTGGAGTCTCCGGCGTCCAGTCTACAGGTCTCCGCCAGGCGCCACGTGAGTGGCACGACACACTGAGGACTACGCTCGCGGCACTTGGGTTTGCTCCTTCTAACTGCCGACCCGTCGCTGATTTCTGCGCACCGCACACCTCTCTGCCGCCGTTCTACATCCTCGTGTACGTCGACGCCTTGGTCTTTGCCAGTGCTGACACTGCTGGAATCGCCTACGTGAAGTCCGAGCTGCAGAAGAGACACACGTGCACTGACCTGGTGAACTGCGCAGCTACCTTGGCTTGCAGATGACCCCGGACAGAGCACGCCGCACCATTACCCTGACTCAGTCACACATGGTGCAGCAGGTCCTTCAGCGCTTCGGCTTCACGTACTCCTCGCCTCAGGCCACTACCTCTGCCTACTCGCCACTCGCTCTCAGCTCTGCCTTTCGGATGAGTCCGTAGAGTCGAGTGGTCCGTATGCAGAGCTTGTTGGCTGCCTCATGTACTCTGATGACCTGCACACGACCTGACCTTGCATACCCTCTTAGCATTCTCGCACGCTATGTTGCTCCTGGAGACACCGACTAGAGCACATGGCTGCAGCGAAGAGGTGTTGCGCTACTTGTGCAGTACGTCGGGCATGGGGCTAGTGCTTGGAGGGCGGAGTCCAGTGGTCCTCACTGGGCACGCGGACGCTTCTTGGGCTGACGACCAGGCTACGCAGCGTCGTCACAGGGTTACACCTTCAGTCTTGGTTCCGGCTCTGGTTTCGTGGCGGCTTACCCGCTCGTCTTCTGTTCTCTGGCTCCAGTTGTGAGGCTGAGATCTACGCCGGGGCTATGGCTGCTCAGGAGCTTCGCTGGCTCACCTACCTGCTGACCGACCTTGGAGAGCCGCCTCGTTCTCCTCCAGTCCTGTACGTAGACAACAAGGCCATGCTGGCCTTGTGTCAAGAGCAGCGACTGGAGCACAGGACGAAGCACATTGCTCTCCGCTACTTTCTTGCTCGTGAGCTACAACAGCGGGACAGTTGCGACTTGCGTACGTGGCCTCTGAGGCCAACACTGCTGATGTCTTCACTAAGGCACTTGCGCCTTGTGATCATCAGTGTTGCTGCCGCAGCTGGGGCTTGTGCCTGTCTTGCCTCCCTTGCTCACTTCTTGACCTTACTTGTACCTTGACCTATATATACTCTTGTTCTTGCTTGCTTGACTCTTGTATATCTCTATATATGATCTTGCATGTGAACTGGCCTTGTGGCCATTGAACTTGTGCTCGGAATGTGTGGTGACTTTTGTGATCCACCCTGAGCTTTGCTTTGCTTTGCTTGACTGGTCTTGTGACCCCTTGTTCTCCCCCCTTTGCCTATGGGGTGTGTCAGAACATTATAGCTTACTTATTTGTGTAGGCTATAGTGGGGTATCCCATAGGGGTTACAACCCAACTAGGGTTTCCTATTTGTACTCACTTCGTTCATAGTCATTCCATTCTCTCGTTCTAACTTTCTCACCCAACGCGCCTTAAACTTGTCGATGGTTCCGTCTGCCTTTGTCTTCACACGGACGACCCATTTCCCGGTGAGTACTGTCTTGTTTCGTGCCATGCCGATGGGAACGACTTTCCAGGTGTTGCGTTCCCTCCAGTGCTTTCAGTTCCCTGTCCATGGCTTCACGCATTTTTTCCCTATGCTCCCCCCCCAGAGCCTGTGGCAAGCTCCTCTAGCGGGGAGAGTTTGTGTCCGCGGGATAAGCTGCTTCGACACCTGCTGCTTCTGGGTCAGGTATGAATTTGGGCCCTATGCGTTATGCTCCGTTGGTGTTGACTTCTACAGGTGTAACGTAACTGTTGTCGGCGAAGTGGTAAAATACTTCGGCGTTGGCGCTTTCGCAAGTTCTCTTCGTCATCCATGGGACGTCGACGGAGCAGTAAGGGAGAGGTCCGGCTTCCTCCGAGGCTTCATCCACGTTCTGCTCATCCCAGTTAGCTTCGTCTGCTGCCGAGGCGAAGGCTCGGTCACCTCGGAAGCCACGTGTGGGGTCCCGATCTTCTTCCAGGTTGGCAAGGTACGTTGGAAGGGTGAGTCCGTTCGTAGAAAATGACATCACGTGCTGCTACTGTGTCCTTGGAGTGGACGTCGAAAATTTCTCACGCGTTGAATTTCTTTCGATGCCCAGGTGTAGCCCCCATTGTGCGCGTTGGGAGAATCAGCCGGCTCGTACAGATGGGGGGCTGGTACTATACCATGCAGCCGAAAACTCTTAACATTTTTGTGCTGCCCTGTTTTCCTGTCCACAGCAGGTGCGGTGATGCGTTGTTCGGGAGCGATGATGACGAGAGCAAGTTGTGGAGCATGACAGCGTGGTCCATTGCTTCGGGCCATTGGTGGTTGGGTAGCTGCATGCCCACGTAGCAGCTTGCGCATGGTGTTTTCTGAAGAGTTCTGTTTCATCCTTTCTGCTACGCCTTGCTGCTGGTGAGCGTAGGGAAGAGAGATGAGCCTCTTGATCCCTCTTTCTGCCAAGTATTGCTTGAACCTCTGTGAGGTGTATTCTCCTCCGTCTGACTGGAAGCTTTTTAGTTTTACGCAAGATTCTCGTTCTGCTACTGGGAGCCAAGCGACGAAAGCCTCGAAGGCCATGTCCTTGCTCGGTAGTTTGAGGTGCCAACGTAACGCGTGGCGGCTGTCAGATCATTATAGCTTATACATTTGTGTAGGCTGTAGTGGGGTAGCCCATAAGGGTACAACCCAATTAGGTTAGTACTTGTACCCAACTCTTTCATAGTTCAATCATTCTCGTTTCTCATCATGGATCGAGCAGGTTCCCGAGTGGAATGCTGCCTAGGGCCCACCACGATTTTTTTTTTCCCATGCCCGGAGCGCGCTTCACTCCTATCCGAGTAGTGCTTCGTGTCCTTACCTACCCTCGAGCGCCCTTAGTGGGCCCCCCTCCTTTGGCCGCGCCCTTACGGCCCCTCGCACCGCCTTCTACGGCCCCTCGCGCCGCCCTTACGGCCCCGCCTAGGCCCCTCCGCGGCCCCCGGTCTGGCCCTTCGCCCCTTCGCGGCCTCGCCTAGGCCCCTCCGCGCCCCGTCTGGCCTCTTACAGCCCCTTCACGGCCCTGTCTAGGCCCCTTGCGGCCCGCCAAGGCAATCTTGCGGCCCCGTCTAGGCCCCTACGCGGCCCCGTCTGGCGCGCTACAGCCCCGTCTAGCCCCTTTACGGCCCGTTTAGGCCCCTCTACGGCCCTGTTGCCACCTGCGGCCCTGTCGCCACCTGCTCCCCGCCGCCACCCTGCGGCCCCGCCGCCACCTGCGGCACGCCGCCCACCCCACCTGCGGCCCCGCCGCCACTGCGCCCCGCCGCCACCTGCGGCCCCGCGCCACCTTGCGGCCCGCCGCCACCTGCGGCCCGCCGCCGACCCTGCGGCCCCGCCGCCACCTGCGGCCCCGCCGCCACCTGCGGCCCCGCCGCCACCTGCGGCCCCGCCGCCACCTGCGGCCCCGTCGCCACCTGCGGGCCCGTCGCCACCGTCGTCCCGCCGCCGCACCTGCGCCCCCCCCACCTGCGCCCCCCCCCCCCCCCAGTCACCCGTCGCCCTACCCTAGCGCCGAGCAGCACAGCAGCCGAGCCGCCCACCTACCGAGCAGCCGAGCCGCCTCGCAGCCGACAGCCGAGCCGCCCTGCCGCCCTGCCGCCGAGCCGCCCAGCACCGAGCCGCCCTGCAGCCGAGCGCCCTGCCGCCGAGCCACCGAGCCGCCTACTGTCTAGCAGCTGCTGTCTCTACCCGGTGCTCCCCGGCCCCCCTCCTCGGACTGATGAGCTCACTTCCTCCTAGGCCACTGCAGTCATGGCTACCCACAGTGTCCTCACTTTTGATGCTGAGGGCCGTGCCGTTGACTTTGAGGTCTGGGTCGATGACCTCCAGCTGTTTCTTCTCAGTGCGATAGGGCTGTGAGAGTACGTCGGCTTATGCTTGTTATTCATGCTTGCTATTATTTCCTTACGCTATTCCTAGCTAGGATTATTTTCTACATGCATGAATTGCTTGATTTCCTAGGTTCGTTGCTATAACTATAGTTATTATAGTTATGGCACCGAACCAGGTTACGTGCACCGAACTCAAGCTATTCGGTCGCCACTGAATTGCTTTCTACCGAGTTCGGAAAGGTTCTGTTCGGGACGCTTCGCGACCTCATAACATTCGCGTAACACCTGTTACCTGCCTTGTGTCGAGCAAACTATATAGCCTCATGTTGTACCCAGGTGATCATTCAATTCAAACTCCTCTTTTCTGAGCTCGATCCTAGATCCTCACACTTGGTAAATCAGAGCGGGTTAACACGCGAGGTCTTCAACCGCTTAGTTCGGGCCTTTAAAAAACCGCGGGGGCGACGACGAAAGCGCCGATACGGTATGTAAAACCAGTTCCTCGCAATTTTTCTAAGTCCCCCTCGATTCGGTTTCGAACACCCCTCAGATTTACTGGTGGAAAGGTTGGAGTTTCAACCGTTCGATCGAGTTTCATCTCAAGGCCCAGAGAATTTCGCCCAAAACATTTGGAATTTGGAGCGTCGGATCGATTTTCTCCTCAACGGCCGAGATCGGTCGCGAATTTTCGCCTAAGGGAGATTTACGCAACCTACAGAATTCGCGCTCGTCGATTCTACAGTCAATTGACTCGCAGTAAGTCGACCATACCTAGAATTCGATTATTTTCGTCGCGCATCTTCCTGTAAATCACCAAATGGAGGGCCAAGGCGACAACTACGCGACCACGAGCGACGTTGTGAGCCTCCGCACCGACATGGAGCAGACGCAGGCGACACTTCGTCGACTCGAGGCTTTTTTAACAAGCCACCCGGCGCTCGCCACGACAGCAGCAGCGACTGCAACCACTACAGCACCGACAATTCCAGCAGCAGTGGCGACACCTATATTTCACGGCCCAATGGCACCACCAACGCCGAACCTCGAAGCAGCACGACCGAGGCTCCCGGAAGCGTTCGATCCAAGCGCAAAGGGATCCGACGTCCGGCGTTTCGTGGCAATCCTCGAGATCTACTTCGAGGCCATTGCTGTTCGACCCCGACAACGACGCAACACGAATCCGGCTCGCAGCAACACTGTTACGCGGACCAGCACTCGAGTGGATCTACACACTGACGTGGCCCGCGGGGAAAAACGTGGCAGCAGTTTCGGGCAGAATTTATCGGGCGTTTCGAACCGGTT